TACATCGGGGTCGTTAACCGGAGCCAGAAGGACATCGACGGCCGCAAGGACATCCCCACCATCCCCGTTATCCCCATTATCCCCATTATCCCCACCATCCCCATTATCCCCACCATCCCCATTATCCCCATTATTCCCATTATTCCCATCATTCCCATTATCCCCGTTATCCCCATCATTCCCATCATTCCCAGGTCATTCCCAGATTTTCCCATTGTCATTCCCAGATTTTTCCCGTCATTCCCAGGTTACATCGGGGTCGTTAACCGGAGCCAGAAGGACATCGACGGCCGCAAGGACATCCCCACCATCCCCATTATCCCCATTATCCCCATTGTTATTCCCATTATCCCCATTATCCCCATTATCCCCATCATTCCCATCATTCCCATCATCCCCAGGTCATTCCCAGGTTTTTCCTGTCATTCCCAGATTTTTCCCGTCATTCCCAGGTTACATCGGGGTCGTTAACCGGAGCCAGAAGGACATCGACGGCCGCAAGGACATCCGCGCCGCTCTGGCCGCCGAGCGCAAATTCTTCCTGTCACACCCCTCCTATCGCCACATGGCCGAGCGCATGGGCACCCCTCACCTGCAGCGCGTCCTCAACCAGGTATTCCCGACGTTCCGCAGGGGGGGGGAAGGAAAAAAAAAAGCCGGAATTTTTCCCGGGATCGGCCTCCAATCCGTGTTTTTTCCCGGCAGCAACTCACCAACCACATCCGGGAGACGCTGCCGGCGCTGCGGAGCAAACTGCAGAGCCAGCTGCTCTCCCTGGAAAAGGAGGTGGAGGAGTTCAAGAATTTCCGGCCGGATGATCCCGCCCGGAAAACCAAAGCTTTGCTCCAGTAGGTTCTGGAATTTTCCGGGGAATTCCCGGGAATTTTTTGGGGGTTTGTGGGGGTTGAAGTGGAGGAGTTTTTTTGGGAGGGTTTTTGGTTCCTGAGTTCTGGGAGTTTTGGGGGGGTTTCTGCTCCCTGATTCCCGTTTTCCTGTGGAATTTTGGGAATTCCCGCTCCCAGATTCCCGTTTTCCAGCAGAATCCTGGGAGTTTTGGGGGGTTTTCTGCCCCCTGTTTCCCGTTTTCCTGTGGAATTTTGGGAATTTCTCCTCCATGATTCCCGTTTTCCAGCAGAATTCCAGGAATTTTGGGAATTTCTGCTCCATGATTCCCAGTTTCTGGCAGAATTCCAGGAATTTTGGGAATTTCTGCTCCCTGATTCCCAGTTTTTGGAGGAATTTTGGGAATTTCTCCTCCCTGATTCCCAGTTTCTGGAGGAATTCTGGGAATTTTGGGAATTCCCGCTCTCAGATTCCCGTTTTCCAGCAGAATCCTGGGAGTTTTGGGGGTTTCTGTTCCATGATTCCCGGTTTTTGGAGGAATTTTGGGAATTTCTCCTCCATGATTCCCAGTTTCTGGAGGAATTCTGGGAATTTTGGGAATTCCCGCTCTCAGATTCCCGTTTTCCAGCAGAATCCTGGGAGTTTTGGGGGTTTCTGCTCCCTGATTCCCAGTTTCCAGAGGAATTCTGGGAATTTTGGGAGTTTCTGTTCCATGATTCCCGGTTTTTGGAGGAATTTTGGGAATTTCTCCTCCATGATTCCCAGTTTCTGGAGGAATTCCAGGAATTTTGGGAATTTCTGCTCCATGATTCCGTTTTTGGAGGAATTTTGGGAATTTCTGCTCCATGATTCCTGGTTTCCAGAGGAATTCTGGGAATTTTGGGAGTTTCTGTTCCATGATTCCCGGTTTTTGGAGGAATTTTGGGAATTTCTCCTCCATGATTCCCAGTTTCTGGAGGAATTCTGGGAATTTTGGGAATTCCCGCTCTCAGATTCCCATTTTCCAGCAGAATCCTGGGAGTTTTGGGGGTTTCTGCTCCATGATTCCCGGTTTTTGGAGGAATTTTGGGAATTTCTCCTCCCTGATTCCCAGTTTCTGGAGGAATTCCAGGAATTTTGGGAATTTCTGCTCCATGATTCCTGGTTTCCAGAGGAATTCTGGGAATTTTGGGAGTTTCTGTTCCATGATTCCCGGTTTTTGGAGGAATTTTGGGAATTTCTGCTCCCTGATTCCCATTTTCTGTAGGAATCCCAGGAATTCCAGGAATTTCTGCTCCCTGATTCCCGTTTTCCCATGGAATTCCAGGAATTCCGGCTCCCCGATTCCCGTTTTTCCCGCTCAGGATGGTGCAGCAGTTCGGGGTGGATTTCGTGGGATTTCCTCTCCCAGATTCCCATTTTCCAGCGGAATTCCAGGAATTTTGGGAATCCCCGATTCCTGTTTTCCAGCGGAATTCTGGGAATTCCCGCTCCCTGATTCCCGTTTTTCCCGCTCAGGATGGTGCAGCAGTTCGGGGTCGATTCCCGTTCCCAGATTCCCATTTTCCAGTGGAATTCTGGGAATTTTGGGAATCCCCGTTCCCCGATTCCCATTTTCCAGTGGAATTCCGGGAATTTTGGGAATTCCCTCTCCTTGATTCCTGTTTTCCAGCGGAATTCCGGGAATTCCCGCTCCCCGATTCCCGTTTTCCAGCGGAATTCTGGGAATTCCCGCTCCCTGATTCCCGTTTTCCAGCGGAATTCTGGGAATCCCCGCTCCCTGATTCCCGTTTTCCCATGGAATTTTGGGAATCCCTGCTCCCCGATTCCCGTTTTCCCACGGAATTCCGGGAATTCCCGCTCCCCGATTCCCGTTTTCCAGCGGAATTCCGGGAATTCCCGCTCCCTGATTCCCGTTTTCCAGCGGAATTCCGGGAATTCCCGCTCCCTGATTCCTGTTTTCCAGCGGAATTCCGTAAATTCCCGCTCCCTGATTCCCGTTTTCCAGCGGAATTCCGGGAATTCCCACTCCCTGATTCCCGTTTTTCCCGCCCAGGATGGTGCAGCAGTTCGGGGTGGATTCCTGTTCCCCGATTCCCGTTTTCCCATGGAATTCCGGGAATCCCCGCTCCCCGATTCCCGTTTTCCCGCGGAATTCCGGGAATTCCCGCTCCCTGATTCCCGTTTTTCCCGCCCAGGATGGTGCAGCAGTTCGGGGTGGATTTCGAGAAGCGGATCGAGGGATCCGGGGATCAGGTGGACACCCTGGAGCTCTCCGGGGGCGCTCGGATCAATCGCATTTTCCACGAGAGATTTCCCTTCGAGCTCGTCAAGGTCAGCCCAGGAATCCCGGGAATCCTCCCGAGCCACGAAACATTCCCGGGAATTCCGGGACAATCCTGGGATTTTCGTTCCCAGAATCCCGGGATTTTCATTCCGGGAATTCCGGGATTTTCATTCCCAGAATCCCGGGATTTTCATTCCTGGAATTCCAGGAGAATCCCGGGATTTTCATTCCCAGAATCCCGGGATTTTCATTCCTGGATTTCCAGAAGAATCCCAGGATTTTCATTCCGAGAATTCCGGGATTTTCATTCCCAGAATCCCGGGATTTTCATTCCTGGAATTCCAGGAGAATCCCGGGATTTTCATTCCCAGAATCCCGGGATTTTCATTCCTGGATTTCCAGAAGAATCCCAGGATTTTCATTCCCAGAATTCTGGGATTTTCATTCCCAGAATCCCGGGATTTTCATTCCTGGAATTCCAGGAGAATCCCGGGATTTTCATTCCGGGAATCCCAGGATTTTCATTCCTGGAATTCCAGGAGAATCCCAGGATTTTCATTCTGAGAATTCCGGGATTTTCATTCCCAGAATCCCGGGATTTTCATTCCTGGAATTCCAGGAGAATCCCGGGATTTTCATTCCCAGAATCCCGGGATTTTCATTCCTGGAATTCCAGGAGAATCCCGGGATTTTCATTCCCAGAATCCCGGGATTTTCATTCCTGGAATTCCAGGAGAATCCTGGGATTTTCATTCCGGGAATTCCGGGACAATCCCGGGATTTTCATTCCCAGAATCCCAGGATTTTCGTTCCCAGAATCCCGGGATTTTCATTCTGGGATTTTCATTCCAGGATTTTCATTCCTGGAATTCCAGGAGAATCCTGGGATTTTCATTCCGAGAATTCCAGGATTTTTCGTTCCGGGAATTCCGGGAGAATCCCGGTGTTTCCCGGTGATCCGTTCCCGGTGATTCCCGGTGATTGATTCCCGGTGTTTCCCTGTGATCCATTCCCGGTGATTCCCGGTGATCCATTCCCGGTGATTCCCGGTGTTTCCCTGTGATCCATTCCCGGTGTTTCCCGGTGATTCCCGGTGATTCCCGGTGATCCATTCCCGGTGATTCCCGGTGTTTCCCTGTGATCCATTCCCGGTGTTTCCCTGTGATCCATTCCCGGTGATTCCCTGTGATCCATTCCCGGTGATTCCCGGTGTTTCCCTGTGATCCATTCCCGGTGTTTCCCGGTGATTCCCGGTGTTTCCCTGTGATCCATTCCCGGTGTTTCCCTGTGATCCATTCCCGGTGATTCCCTGTGATCCATTCCCGGTGTTTCCCGGTGATTCCCGGTGATCCATTCCCGGTGATTCCCGGTGTTTCCCTGTGATCCATTCCCGGTGATCCATTCCCGGTGATTCCCGGTGATCCATTCCCGGTGATTCCCGGTGTTTCCGTTTCCCGGCAGATGGAATTTGACGAGAAGGATTTGCGGCGGGAGATCAGCTACGCCATCAAGAACATCCACGGGGTGAGGCAAGTATCCGGCATTCCCGGGAATTCCATGGATCCATCCCCGGGATCCATCCCCGGATCCTCCCCCGGATCCATCCCTGGATCCTTCCCGGGAATTCCCTGGATCCATCCCTGGATCCATCCCTGGATCCATCCCTGGATCCATCCCTGGATCCATCCCTGGATCCATCCCTGGATCCATCCCTGGATCCATCCCTGGATCCATCCCTGGATCCATCCCTGGATCCATCCCTGGATCCATCCCTGGATCCATCCCTGGATCCATCCCTGGATCCATCCCTGGATCCATCCCTGGATCCATCCCTGGATCCATCCCTGGATCCATCCCTGGATCCATCCCTGGATCCATCCCTGGATCCATCCCTGGATCCATCCCTGGATCCATCCCTGGATCCATCCCTGGATCCATCCCTGGATCCATCCCTGGATCCATCCCTGGATCCATCCCTGGATCCATCCCTGGATCCATCCCTGGATCCATCCCTGGATCCATCCCTGGATCCATCCCTGGATCCATCCCTGGATCCATCCCTGGATCCATCCCTGGATCCATCCCTGGATCCATCCCTGGATCCATCCCTGGATCCATCCCTGGATCCATCCCTGGATCCATCCCTGGATCCATCCCTGGATCCATCCCTGGATCCATCCCTGGATCCATCCCTGGATCCATCCCTGGATCCATCCCTGGATCCATCCCTGGATCCATCCCTGGATCCTCCCCAGGTTCCTTCCCCTGGATCTTTCCCTGGATCCATCCCTGCCTGGCATTCCCGGGAATTCTCCCCTGGATCCATCCCTGGATCCATCCCTGGATCATTCCCGAGAATTCCCTGGATCCTCCCCCGGATCCATCCCTGGATCCATCCCTGCCCGGCATTCCCGGGAATTCCCTGGATCCTCCCCCGGATCCATCCCTGGATCCT